GGATACTGGCATGTCTGGAGACAGCATGGACACTCTGAGCCCTTTCCTTGCATCTTACATTATCTATCTCTTTCCATCTGACAGTTCTCAGTTATATCTTTTGTGACAAATTGGTGATCTAGTAAGTGGGTTTCCTGAGTTTTGTGAGCTTCTCTGGCAAATTAATTGAAACTAAAGAGGGGATCCTGGGAGTCTCTGGCTTATGTAGCCTGTTGGTCAGAAGCCCGGGTTATACCCTAGGCTTGTGACTGGTGTGTGAAGTAGAGGGTAGTCTTGGGAGACTAAGTCCTTAATCTGTGAAATCTAATGAGGCTACCTCTAAGTAGATAGTGTGCGAATTGAGCTGAATTGAATTGAATTCTTAGATACCCTGCTGGTATCTGAGAATTGCTGGTTGGTATAGGAAATTGTTCACACACACTCATATACAAATTGGTCTGAAGACAGGGAATAATAATCTCATCATTCTTTTTTTTTTTTTTAAGATTTATTTATTTATACAAGAACCGGGGTACAGGCCAGATGCTCGGGAGAGTAAGAGGATTCACCAGAGACAGAGCAGGGAACAGAGCAGGCAGACTGACGAAATCCACTGCTGAGGGGAGCAGCGGGCGCGACAGGAGAGGTCTGCTGCGCCATGTGGGATTCTCGCTGGTCCGCTGGGAATTGAATTCGCGCTGCAGAGGCTACGGACAGCTTCACAGTGTGGTGCTAAACACCTGCACCACCAGGGAGGCCCTCATCATTTATTCACACATCATAGAGATTCACTGACACAACTGAAAAAACTCACTCATTTAAAACTTGAGTTCTACAACTGGCCTACTCTTCCTCTAATAAACCTGTAGCAGTAATTTTTAAAAATAAATTGCATAGTTATGTTGTGATTAGTACATTACATTGTGTTAAATATTTGTGTGCATTTTTGACCTCTACATATAGCAAGTTCACATTGTTCAACATATTATTTGAAGAATATCTACTTTCAACTACAAACATTAAAAGTATATGCAACTATTTTTTCTCCTTCTGGTTTTTTTTTTTTTTTTAAGTGGGAGACAAAGCTTTATGTATTTATTTATTTAAAAGATTTTTTATTTATTTATTTATATAAGCACTGGATACAGTCAGAAGGGCGGGAGGGTGAAAGAATTCACCAGAGGCAGAGCAGAGAGTAGAAGAGGCAGACTGACGACATACACTGCTGAGGGGAGCAGCGGGCGGCAGGAGAGGTCTGCGAGACATGTGGGACCCTCACCCGGTAGCCGGGGATCGAACCAGCGTTGCAGAAGCTGTGGGCAGCTTCACAACCCAGCGCTCAACTGCTGCGCCACTGGGGAGGCCCTTTTTCTGCTTCTGTTATGGCAATTTTTTTTTACCTTTTAATATACTGGAATTCTCATAAAATGGCCTTATTAGGAGGAGATCTCCGTTAGGTTCTTAGAAGCCCTACAATGAAGCCTCTATACAGCAAATCTTTCTTTCACTGATATAGCAATTTCTGTAACATCTCTTCAATGTATACTTGGTTTAAAAGAGCTGCTCTTTTTAAAAACAGGAGGGGATAGAAATAAAAGGCATATGGAGAGACCAATTCCCCATCACATATAAAATGACAATAATCATGAATCATGTATCTTCCTCCTCTGGAACATTACACATGATAATCACTGTACAGAACCTTTAAGAGTTAAAAGTACAGTCATGAAAAGTGTTTCACTTTCAGTGTACACTTACTTGGAAGTCTTTGTTTTTGGTCCATGGTGAAAGAAGAATGAAAATTTGAGAATGTGCATTTAAAACTTTAATAGAAATTTGACAGAGTAATTTTACATCTGTGAATCAAATAATAAAAGATTTGGACTTGTACTTTGTGTGTCTTATTTTTTACTTCATTTTTTAGTAATTCGTTTTCATTGTATTTCACAAAGGCAAAGAAAAATCTTTCCTTCATCACACTTAGCTTGAGAAGCATTGATAAAAGTTATTTTTATTTCTGAAATTTTGCTTAAGAGCCATTATATTTCTAATTAGAAACTAATTATATGTCATTATTTGAGAAACACTGTTTCATACCAAGTGTAAAGAGTTGCCCGCACACAAACAAGTTTCAGAACGAGTTCATTTTGTATTAAGTAACTTGGCTATTTGGGAATCAGAAGCCATTTTCCCTATGAAATAAGATAAACCTGGGGTTATTTCTAGTGTGGTCTATACATCCCAGTTATCTCAAGAGATTGCAAAGCTATGTTATAAAGTTTATTAACCAGTATCAACTGGAACACTTAACCAGCACTCTCCATCCTCTTTATAATGGAGAAGCTAGACTTCTAATTTCCAAATCAGAAAATACTCTTCTTCCCCATCCATCTGAGAGAAGCAGTAATTCCTAGCCATCATACAGCAGTGGAGCAGGGGGAAGAAGGAGCATTACTTCTGCAGAAGTTGTTTCAACAGCAACACTCAGAAAGAGGAAGAGTTTGGAGCTACAGTATTCCTCATGCAGAATAATGGAGGAATTAGGAGATCAAGTTTGAGGGCACTCACTGGTCATGTTAATAAAATTCAATGAGGTTTCTCCAAGAGTCTCTGAAACCAAAGTTAGGCAGGTTTTGCTGGACTTGAAAGTCCGATTTTTTTTTTTTTTTTTTTTTTTTTTTACCAAATGCCTCCATCCTAAACTCCAGGGCATTATTCCTCTTGTTGACTAGCACCATGACTGCAACTAGGCTACATCCTGAACTGAGATCTGTCAGGGGCTACTGCAGGGGATTTTGTTTTTCTTTTATTGTTACAGTTTGAAAAGGTTGTGGAGACAAATCTAGGCTTGATGAAAAGCACAAATTGGTAGACGTGATGTCTACCATGGGCCAGGAAGAAGGGGAGTATACTTAAGAGCTTTTTTTTTTTTTTTTTTGTCATCCTGAGGGATTCTAAAAGATACAGACTTTCAACCCTTTCATTTCAACTGAAACCAGGATGAATTATTAGGAACATAATTTTTTTTAAGGTTGGGAATAATCAAAAGGAAATATACATAGAGAATAGCACACAATAGGTAATCCTATTTATAGAGTGGTTTTCTCATTCTGAAACACATGCAGATGTCAGGAGAGCCTGACTCCTAACCTCAAGCCCACAAGTATTGTTTTATGGACTTGCCACTATTCAAAATCCTTGGAACCAACATCTCAGACATAAGACAGATGCACTGGCAAGAGTCCCAGACCCTGTTTTAGGTTCTTGTTGTAAATTCTGATTTCATATGTGTAGTTCTTCTGAGCGATTGACAACAAAAATGTCCATAAAGAAGAGATTCCCACCTTTACCTACCTACCAGGTCAAGGATAACTATGACAGAATTCTTAACCAAAGTGAATAGAAGATAGAATTCCAGGTGTTTAGAACCTTGGATACAAAACAAACAAACAAACAAACAAACAAAAAAACCTATTCAGGGCCTCCCTGGTGGCGCAGCGGGTTGAGTGCAGTGCTATGGAGCTATCCCCAGCCTCTGCAGCACGGGTTCGATTCCCAGCCGGCTGGGGAGAAACCAATGGGGCAGACCTCTCCTGTCGTTCCTGTTGTTCCCCTCAGCAGTGTATTTCGTCAGTCTGCCTGTTCTGTTCCCCGCTCTGTCTCTGATGAATCCTCTCACCCTCCTGTGCTTCTGGCCTGTACCCCAGTTCTTGTATAAATAAATAAATCTTTTTTTAAAAAAAGAAAAAAAACTTGATTCAAATGGAATGTAGCATTTCCTTCATTATGAAAGTAGAAAACAAACCTCAGAAGCATTAGCAGTATTTGTGACTTTGTTACAATTAGAAAGAACAGTTTCTTTTGTTATTTCATTACAGTGTTGCAGATAACTTGAAATAACATTTAGGCTTATTACAATTTGAAAGAATGGTGCTAGATGTTTTTATGCAATGTGTTAATGCAGCATACATTACATTATTACTATAGCATAAAATTTTAAAAGACTATTTTGATAATTGTCTTTGAATGAACTTGGTCTCCTTTTCAGTCCTGTGCATCTTATAGTATACACTTATAAATATTATTCTGACCTGCTGATTTTACTGACAGAGAGGTCCAAGACACACAAAAAGTTAAGCCTCCTGGACTTCAAAGAACAACTAGTAGCTTTCTACTAGTGATACACACACAGAAGCAGAGGGGCTTCCCCCCCCCACTCTGGTCTGGGGGTGCAGATGAGAAACAGCATCTGCTTTTATTTAGAATGTTTATAAAGTGGATGTTTGCTGAAAATCAGCAATTTTGACCATTTCTGTCTAGAACATTTAGGATGGCAATTAAACACTTGAAACTATTAGCTAATTTCAAGCATACTCACAACCGACTCAATCTTAATGAATAAATTTCCTTTTTATATTTCTTTTAAAATCCACCTTGTGATTTTAAAAATAAAACAACAGCAGCAGCGCAAACTACTCATACTCACATAAACTGAGTTTAAATTAAAAAGTAACCTAAACTGAGTTTAGATAAACTGACTTTAGATTAAAAAGTCCAAATCTTTGGTCTTTAGTGAAACATTGCCAGAAATAGAATTACTGTATGAAGCATTACTAGACTCTTTCCTCCTAGCTACATCCTGTTATAAAAACTAGTGGTTCCAACATGGAATTATTTACATGACCCAGTATCTCTTCCTGTAATAAAAAAGAATCTTTAAAACTTCACTCCAGAAGTTTCTTATCCAAGAGACAGTAAGGAATGTCTTTGAAGACTAGGGAAATGAAAGGTATGCAGACCCGCCTGCTTAAGGCTCTTTGTGGAGTTGTTTGGAAAAGGAGGGGAAGCGATTCAAAGTTTCAAGGCCTTAGCCTAAACTGGGGTGTGGGAACTGTTCCGGGCCTGGAGAAGGTGTCTCGGAAGCAGGTTTGTGATGACAAAGGCAGGCCTTGGGCCAAGGGCGGAGCCGCCGCGGCCCAGGGCACGAACCGGCCTAGGCCTCGGACGGGGCGGAGCGCGGCCCCTGAGAGTCCGAGCCTGGCAGCGGGCGCCGCCCACAGCCCTTCCCGGCTAGGCCCGAGCGAGGCAGCTCTGGCTGGCGCATCATGGGACGGCTGGTGACACTGAGTTTGCTGGGGATTGCGCTGGCGCTCCTGGGCGAGAGGCTTCTGGCGCTCAGGTAGGTGGGGCCCTCTCGCACTGAGACATTGGCGCGCAACCTGGCCCGGCGCCCGGCTCCAGGGACGCCCATTTCTGCGCGCCTCCCTGGCGTGAGCCCTCGGGCTCCGGGGGCCGCAGGCTGCGGGAGCGCGCACAGGCCACGGAGGGATTCGTAAAGCGCCTGGACTGTGTGCCATCTGGTTGAGGACTTTTATCCCCATCCCCAGCTTCTAGCAAAACGCCAACACAGTTTGAGCTGAATCGCGAGACTTTGTAGAGAGCCTATGAGCCTTGGCAGCTTACAAAGCTCTTTGCTATCTAGGTTGAGGAACAAGCGCTTTGGCAACTTCTCAAGGAAGACCCTAGTGGTTTAACTTGAAAACAAAACTATTTCTCATGCATTGAAACTTTAACTATAAGGATTTATTTCAGATCACTGGTGCTGTTTCTTTTTGTTGCCCAAACCAACCTGTGTCTTTTACAGAATTATTCTCCATCCCTCCCTCCGCTGCATGGTTTGAGAAACTACAGTTCTCTCATTTTTGCGCGGTAGATCAAAGATACTCAACCACTATTCTTACATCACTTCCTTTTTTACTCTGGAACCTGAAAGGCGGAATACTAAATGGTACAGCCGAGTCCTCTCACATTTTAGTTATAATGAAAAAAAAGGCAGTGGGCAGAATAGTTTCTAAATTATGAACTCAAATTTTATAAACCTCATGCAAAAGGATGCCAGAAATGTTGAGCAGCTACTATAGAAGGTGACTTTCCAAGGCTCCTGTCATAGAGTAAGGCATAGTGCTTACCCATAAGAAATTTACCCTACTACAAGGAGAGGAGAGGAATAAAACAAGCACATAAATTAGGATGTTCAGTACAATCCAATCCAATCCCTTCAAGGCTTGAGGAGAAAGATTAATCCCCTAAATGTGGAGTTCGAGAAGGAGGGAAAGACATTTGACACAGGCCTTGAAGGATGGAGAAAACACATCTGGGATGAAAGTGATCATCTCAGATGCGGAGTGCAGTGTGATCAAAGGGTATATATATATATATATATATATATATATATATATACCCTTTGGTGGGGGAAGTTTGGAGATTAGCAGTAGCCAAATTTGAGGGGAGCAGAAAGTTAAGGGATGAAAATACTAAGGGTGGGGGAAGTTTTTGAGATGGTTAAATGTAAATTGAAAAATTAGGGCCTGCTTTGATAGGCGAAGGGGAATTATAGAGGTAGTGTGCGTTTTCAGAAACAGGAACCTAATGTTTAACCATATAAAGCAAAATCAATTGTTATGCTGTAAAGTGTAACCAGTTAAGCTCTGTAGAGGTGAACCTAGAAGAATGGGTAGAGGTAGAGCAGTATCTCTCAACCCTGGCTGCACATTAGGATTTCTTGGAGAACTGATGTGTGGGTTGCCCTCGCCAGAGAATCTGAATCTGCTGGTCTGGGTGGGGCTCAGACATGGGTATTTTTTTCTTTAAAAAAATTTCTTCTGATGATTTTAATATGCAATTAGGATTGAGAAGTACTAGAAGATAGAGTGAATAGAACTGAGGTTGTCTGGAGAGAATAATATGGCCCACACTCTATGGGCCTCCCCGGTGGCGCAGGGGTTGAGCACTGGGTTGAGAAGCTGCCTGCAGCCTCTGCAGCACCGGTTTGATCCCCGGCTGCTGGGGGAGGGTCCCACATGGCGCGCAAACCTCTCCTGCCGCCTGCTGCTCCCCTCAGCAGTGTACTTTGGTCCTTCTGCCTGTTCTGCTCCCTGTTCTGGCTCTGGTGAATTCTCTCACCCTCCCGCGCTTCTGACTGTACCCAGTACTTGTATAAATAAATAAATCTTAAAAAAAAAATATATATGGCCCATACTCTGGAACCCCAGGGATAAAGGGAAATGAAAGGTGATGCTACAGTTTCCTGCTTGATTGTCATGCAGCTGTAGCCTTGGGTGCTGACAAAGGGACCAAAGGGACGTAAGGGAGAGAAACAGAGGGTGGTGGGGTTGTGGGAGGTTTAGAGGTGGGAGAGGATTGTTTATTGGCAGAAAATGGACATGTCAGATCTAATTCTCATATTATATAAATGCCCATCCAACTTGGCAGGGCATTCTTGAGTTAGATGATTTTTGTATGAGCTGTCCAGCTCTCAGTTTCAAAGGCAAGACCACTAAAATTCACAGGTTCATTAAGTTTCCCCTAATGTTCAAATCATCTGTGTTTCCACAAATTAAATTTTTCTCAATTGACAGACCATTTTTTTCTCTTATAATCTGAAGGTTTTAAATTTACGTCTCTTAGAATTGTAAATGTCATAGTTTTAAATCTAGAAAAAAGTAAATAAAACTTATTGACACAGAATACACCTGATAATACATTTATAATTTGATGCAACTTTTCTTTATAAAGATCTGATGATAATAAACTTTATTGAGCAAAGACTTTATAGGTGGTAACTATAGTTGAAGCCCATCTCAGCTGATGTGATAATGTTGAGAGGGTTGATAGATAGCTGTATTTTGCAAGTAAAATGCAGGACACCTAGTTAAATTTGAATTTTAGATAAACAAGGAATCAATTTTTAGTATAAGCATATTCCATGCAATATTGAAACATTATTCATTATCTAATTAAAATTCAAATTTAACTGGGATCCTGTATATTATCTGGCAACCCTGTGATCACAGAATGTCATTCGCCTGCTGTTTAGAGATTGGTGCAGTCAGGTGATAGTATGTCTCCTTTCAGACCCTTAGGCCTTATTTCAAAAGGCAGCAGGTTCCCACCCCCCCCAAAAAGGAAAAAAATCTTTAAAAAAATCAAGGTTTTTTTCTTTTCTTTGCTTTCTCCCCCCCTTTTTTTTTTTTATCTTATCTGGTATCTGCTATTTTATTATTCTATTTTTAGAGATAATACTTTGACACTCAAGTAATTTCTCCTTCAGGATGCACAACTTGAATTTTAGATAAACCATGAAGAACTTTTTACTATAAGTGTGTCCCAGATGCATAAATGGAATTAGAATTGTCTGTCTGTTTACTCTGATCTGTAATTGTCTTCTAGCATACACAACTTTTCCACCCTCCCTTCTTGAGAAATAAAGGAGACAGTCAACTATGCAAATATCTTCAGAGCAGTTGCTCCCTGTCTCAATGTACACACCTATGAATGAATCATGAAACTTGATTGTATCAGAGACCTATATGTGGGCAGGAACCCCAAAACAAGCATCTAAACTTTTTGATTTGACCCAGCAACTTTATGACAGCTCCACCAAAAAGCTGTCCAGTAAGCTTCTAAAGGGGGCAGCTTTTTTTAAAAAAACAAAACAAACAAAACTACCAATCCACATTTTCATTTACTGTGTGACTCTGTGTACTGGCCACCAAGTCAAAGTGTCAGAAGTTCTTTATGTTAAGCCAAAATGTAACATTTACTGTAGTTTGAAGAGAAACAACATTTTGCATTTATGCATTCATTCAGTCTTCATATATATCTTCCTTTCTACATGATACATGAAACTAGGGTTAACTAGTTATTTCAGCAAATAATAAGTGCTCAACCTGTACTCAACCCAGATCTTCTGATTCCAAATATAGTTTAGTTTGCCTTAGTTCTTCTGCAATCCTGTACTTTCTCTACCTTTGGAGCAGATTTTCCCAGCTTTACATGCCGAAGCATAAATTCTTAGTTACTTTGCGTGCAAGCATTACAAGGGCCCAAAGGGTTAATTCCAAGGGGGTTTCATGGCCTGTATATATAGGATAAGGCCCTGTTTTGTCTACATTTAAGTCTGTATGTAAACGATAAAGCTCCATCTATGGTTCATAAAGGCAAAGGGTGAGATATGATGCAAAACAATGCCTGGTAGTGGAGGCAGTAACATGCTGAAGGCATGTTGGCACCATAGCCTGGTGAAACCTTTCTGCTGTCACAGATGATGTGAGATTGTAGCTATTGGCCCTGGTCTCATTTCACTCTAGATGGGTAATGCTGTTTCCTCAGCTAAAGAAATAGAGATTGATATCATGGTAATGACTGTTGGCTAAAGCTTCATGCTTTGTGGCCAGATAGCATGAATTAATTTCCTAACTTCACTATTTACCCTAGACCTTGACTTTCTATTTCACCTTTCTGTGCCTCAGTGTCTTAATTTATATGATGGGGATAATAAAATTACTTGCGCTATAGTGGATCTATGAGAAATGAGTGCATTTGTGTAAAGTGCCAAAACAATGCCAGGCACATAGTAAATACTCAGTGAAAGTTATCTCTGATAATGACATTCAAGCAGGGGTTCTTAGATTTTTTGCAGTAGATTCTTTGGCAGTCTGGTGAAGCCTTGAATGTCTGTCTCAGTATTCTGTTTTTAAAGATATAAAATAAAATACATAAAATTACCAAACAAATAGCAGTTAATACTAATTCAAATGATTAAATACTATTCTCAAACTTTTAAAAATCTGGGGCCTCCCCTGGTGGCGCAGGCAGTTGAGCACCGCACTGTGAAGCTGTTCACAGCCTTTGCAGTGGTGGTTTGATCCCGGCCTGTAGGCAGGCAAGGGTCCCACATGGCACAGCAGACCTCCCCTGTCTCACCCGAGTGAGACAGTTGGTGTCTCACCAACAGTGTATTTCAACAGTCTGCCTGTTCTGTTCCCCGCTCTGTCTCTGGTGAATCCTCTCACCCTCCCGCACCTCTGGCCTGTACCCCGGTTCTTGTATAAATAAATCAATCTTTAAAAAGAAAACTTTTAAAAATCTAATGTATGATAAAGTAACATTAAAGCCTTAAATAGATCTAGAAGTAGTTAAGCAACAGTAGGTATTTTCAAGTAGCACTGAGTGTAACTAGTATTTTGAGACATCCACAACAACTGCAGTGTGATCTAACAGTGTAATTGCTGTAACAGTGGCGAGTAGTAACAGGAAGTCTGTGCTAGTAGCATTTTCCGTGGTTTGTTGCTCACATTCATTATCAGTGGAAATGCTCAACTTCAATTGGAGGTTTTAATCCAAGTTCATGGATTCCTGAATTTACCCATGGATTCCTTAAGGTCACCGAGCCCCAGGTTAAGAACCCTATAGCATATGTGATTACAGGCTAGTTGAAAGAAGGTGGTGTATTCTCTTTCCCGTGTCATACTTAATATACACTAGTAATTAAAAGGAAAATAACCATATTGTAATGGAAAAGTACAGGTAAGTGAGACAGACAAAAGGAACCTTGAACAAGGAAGGCAAATAGCTTTTCTCTTGAGTATCCATTTTAATTAACAGATAGTGGCTGCCTGGAACAGTATTTGAGGCTGGCTTTCTGTTAAAAGGAAAGTGCTATGTATGATTGTTCAGTGATGTCTGCATGATAGCAGAGTGACTCAGCCATGTCATCTCTGATCTATAACATTCATAGACATGGCATAGACATTGTGTTTGTACCTTTTATCTTTTCTTTTGGTATGTATTTAAGCATGTTGATCTATTAGTCCAAAGATTTGCATAGCTTTCATATAGTCCCCAAACTTCTTTTTTTTTTAAAAAAAAAAAGATTTATTTCTATTTATACAACAGCTGGGGTACAGGCCAGAGCCATGGGAGGGTGAGAGACAGAGCCTGGAGCAGAACAGGCAGATGGATGGAAAGCACTGCTGAGGGGAGCAGCAGGCGAGACAGGAGAGGTTTGCTGTGCCATGTGGGTAGCTCCCTGGCTGGCCAGGAATCTAACCGGCACTGCAGAGGCTGTGGACAGCTTCACGGCGCTGCGCTCAACCACCTGCACTACCTGGGAGGCCCCAGTCCCCAAACTTCTTTAATCTATTCATAGTAAAGAATGCTTTTAGGGCCTCCCCAGTGGCGCAACAGTTGAGTGCTGGGTTGCGACGCTGCCCTCAGCCTCTGCAACGCTGGTTCGATCCCTGGCCACTGGCGAGAGTCCCACATGGCGCAGGAGACCTCTCCTGCCGCCCGCAGCTCCCCTCAGCAATGTGTTTCCTTGTTCTGCTCCCCGCTATGGCTCTGGTGAATCCTCTCACCCTCCCGCACTTCTGACTGTACCCAGTGCTTGTATAAATAAATAAATAAATCTTTAAAAAAAATAGCTGCAAGTTATATATGAAATTAATGGTAGCTTATGCAAATAGAGATTTGTTTTTCTCACATGATTAAAAACTGTGTACGTGAGTCATCCATTGAGTCAGTGATCACATCAAGGAACTGGGTTCTTAAATTTTTGTTCTTTGATCCTTCCCTATTGGCTTTATTTCCTCAAGTTTATTGTGTTAATGATACTGAATGGTCACTGTTGTTCTGAGCATGTATGGTCAAATTGAAAAGGAGAGGAAAGGAATGATACCAGTTAGCTCTCTTCCTATGTTGCCCTTTTTTTAAAAAAAAAGATTTATTTATTTGTGTATGCAAGAAGTGGGGAACAGGCCAGAGGTGCAGTGGGGAGGGGGTGGTGAGAGGACTCACCAGAGACAGAACGGGGAACAGAACAGGCAGACTGATCGAAGTACACTGCTGAGGGGAGCAGCAGGCGAGACAGGAGAGGTTTGCTGTGCCATGTGGGTAGCTCCCTGGCTGGGGATTGAACCCACACTGCAGAGGCTGCAGATAGCTTCACAGTGCTATGCTTAACCCCTTGCGCCACCAGGAAGATCCTATGTTGCCCTTTTTATCAGGAGCAAAAATATCCCAAAATCTGGGTCTTAATTATCCCTTACACAAAGGAGGCTGGGAAAGCAAATATTTGACTTGCCCACCTCTGCAATGGAAAGTAGCAAGTAAGACAAGGAGTGAGGTTAGCTAATAGAAATGTGAAAGTCCAATAATGAGTAGGGAACTGATGGTTCTGCCTTTACACTAGAGTGGAAAGGAAAGGGGAAGATAGCTCGTTAGAGTTCAGCATTTTCTCATTATTCCTTCACTTTGATTATACCAAAACAACAGCAAGTAGCTTTGCTAAAAAGTAGTTGGTGCTCTCCAACCCTTTCACCCTAGTCAATTTTGTGATGGGGATGAGACGTTCTCCTGTTTTTTATTTCTTAATAACTGTTTACAGAGTGTCTCCTGTGCACCGGGCCCCAAACAATGTCATTTTCTCTTCACCTCCTTTCAATAGCTGTTGGATCTTGTAGAGGCTATGAATGTTTTTCAGCATTTCAGGCCCATGGAAGGAAGACAGAGCTCCTGGCTCCACATCTGGAGCTTTTCCCCTAACACCAGAGCTGGGAGATATGTGACCTGGTGCCATGTTTTTATTTGTATAGGAATGCCAAGATGTTTTATTTGTTGAGTTATTGGCTTTCTTATATGATCCATGTCCAAGGATAGAACTTTGTGATATGCATTTTTGTTTTAACTTCATTTCTGGTGCTATTTTATGTTCCTGCTTTGATTTTTCTATCTTTTCTATTACATGCTTGAGATTTATGCTGTGCTTTATGTATTTCTGTAAGCCTATTTAAACCCTTTCTGCTACAAAGCAGGGAATACATAAACAGATAGATTTTTTTTTTTAAAAACAGAAATCGACTTAAAGCCTCCAGAGAAGTAGAATCCGTAGACCTTCCAAACTGCCACCTGATTAAAGGAATCGGTAAGTATGAGAAAATGCTTGTTGTACTCATTCCATTATTTGGCCACCACCGCTAAAAAGCTCATTAACAGTACTTTGGCATGCAATTACTGCTCTTCAGCAGATAAATCATATTAGGTCAATGAAAGCCTCTTTGGTCATTCTCCTTTTATCTCGTGCATCTCCTGTATTTCTTAATCTCTCTTACTCTCACTGCAATTTATTGTTCGTATAATCTTGTGTTTACTGTTTGATATTTTGCTTGCTTACTGGCTCTTATGAACTATTTTGGTAAAGTTTGTATTCTTTTTCATTATGACCATTGTAGTCTTTGTTCCTTGGGCCTAGTGGTCAGCTAATGAAGTTGTCAGAAGAAAGGTAAGTTATAAAATGGAAAATAAAAATCTCTCCACAAACTTTCCATTCCCCCTCCTCAAAGAAATAACCCAAAGAAAAAGTTTCTTTTTTATTCTTCCAGATATTGTCAGTGCAAATGCAAACAAATATAAGCATATACATACATACATACCACAAATGGGGTCTTAGTATATCCTGTGGTCTGTTTTATTCTATCACAGGGTGAATAGCTTTCACATCAACACATGTAGATTTACCTTAATCTTTTTAATATTTGCATGTACCATGATTGACTTAACCAGTTTCCTCTCAATTAACATCTGGGTGATTGCATTTTTTTGCCAGCTACAAACAAATGAGTGAGCCCCACTGTACATGTAACTCTTGTACTGATCTGTCCGATAAATCCTTAACAATGGGATTGTTGTTTCATTACCATGTGTGTTTAAAGTTTTGATCCTCATTTATAAATTGCCCTTGAGTTGGCAGAACTAATAGAACTCTTACCACATATTTAGAAACATATTCACTCCAAACAATGCTCTTGTAGCAAAAATAGGTGTGTCACTTCTTTGGCTCACACCCAAGAAGGCTTCACTTTCATGGAACTATTTTCAGAATAACCTTTTCTAGTTAAAGTTTCTTTCTGGATCTGTGACTCACCACTCTGTTTCCCCCACTGCTACTTCTGTACTTTTCCCCAGTTCTACCTCCTTAAACTCCTTGATTTCTTTTTCCTGAGGCTTCTCTACTTTGTTTCACTTTTCCAAACACTTAGGAAGATACCAACCGTCTCAAATACTAGATTGACCAGATGTATGTCAGATCTTTCTAGAACTAAAGTGATCTGGAGTGCCAAGACTCTCAGGCCCCTGCATCCTGCCTTCTGACTATAATCGCGAAGAGTCTCTTCAGCATGGGTCACTAAGCAAAAGCCAGATGGTATCTGTATGGGGTGCTGTTCAAGGTCGGAAGGTTGTGTCAGTGATCTCTAAGGTTACTTTAGCTGCTGGGTTAGTAATTGTCAAGTTGCTAACCATCCCTTGGCCTGTGCAGCCTACCTTTTATGAATTCAAATCTCAGAATAGACAATAGGGCATAGCCAGACTTATTACAGGACAAACTGCCAAGTGTATTGCTGTTACAGCTCCCTAGGATGGGGGGCTTCTTAGAGAAAAACAAGCTCAACATTTGTATTCTGAACAGGCGTCTGTCTGTGTTTGTGACCTTTATGTTGTGATGTGTGTGAGCTGCTGTCTGGCATTGGAAAGAATGAGGAACTATGTCACCTATAGCCCCTCTTGTGAAGTGTTTAATGCCTCTGAGGCACTTCAGAAGGCAACAGAGCGGAGACGATGAATGATTAGAAGCACATTTGGGATACATTTTTAGATCTAATTAGAATTGTGCTTCTTTTTTGCTTTTGCTCTGTGGCTAACACATACTATATGAACATTTGTTAAATGCTATGTTAGTGAGGCATAATAATAACTTGTGGTTTTATGTTTTTAACAATAGTTGCTTGTCCTGTGCTCTTTGATTATAAGGACATACGTTCCCATGTTGGTGAAAACAATTCCTTAGGAAAGGTGGCAAGGGTAGAGAAGTTCTCTTTTTACAGTTTCCAGTATGGAAACACTAGTAGACATGCACTTGAAGACAGCTAACTCCTCCAAGAGGTAAGACCACTTCTTTCCCTTCCAACCCCAGCCTCCCCTCCCCTTACATGAGCACATGCACATGCATACCTGAGCGCGTGCACACACACACACACACAGCAATACTACATTCCCTTTACAATCACTGGAAATGAACTTTTCGTAACTCTTGCATGCTTTACAGATATCCTATCTCCTCTCTGTCTGTTTTAATAAATAATTATCTACCACATATCACAAGATATGTGCCTTTAATGGGGCAGAAAATAAGTTCCATGCTTTGTATCCCTTTCTGATTTATCTTATAGACAGAAACTAAGCTTTTACATACTCAAGATTTGGCATAATATCCACATCTACATAATAAAAATTGTAATGACAAGAGTAATTAACTCTATTTGAGGCTTAAAAGTTTAAAACCAGTTCTAAATGTCCTCGAAAATGCTGGCATTCAGAGTCCTGATGAACTGAAACAAACTTTTGAATGGATTGTCTCTCTTAAATTAAATAATGGTTTTATACACTTGGCAAGGCCTTTTACAAAAACTAGTGCTCAGGAGATTTTTAAAAAAGCATTAAGATTTGTAGCCCTTTTCATCAAGCATTTCACAGTCTACCTATGAAAAGGAAAACAGAAAAAGCACTCTCTTGAGACATATAGACATATATGTCTTCTTTCTTTTTATTATAAATAAGGTCCAAAGGCTCAGAGAGATTAAGTAACTTTGACAAGTTCTCTTTCCAGTAAAGTGTCTTCTTGCAGAGTGATTAACATACACAACTGATTAGTGAACAAAAACGTGGAAGTAGTAGGCTACGTTACGTACCCTATTGGCATGACAAGTGCTGATTTGCTGTTGTAAAGTTAGGGTCAGTTACCTTAGAGAAGAGAAAAATTTGTTTTCTCTTATGTATTAGTCCAAAGATAAGCAAATATCCTAAGGTGATTAGATGACTACCCTCTCTTGATCATTCAACGGATGAAGCACCACAACAATCTTCAACATCTTACTTTCATCTTGGGAAAGATAACTACAGCTCCAGGTGTTGCCTTTTCCCAGCAGAAAGGAGTAGAAAAGAAATTACATGGATATTATTTTTATTTTATCTAGTAGTAGCATTCATCTTGTATTCTCACATCCCATTGACCTGTATTTAGACAAATGGCCCCATCTGTCAGCAAGATAGGGTAGGAAATGTCTGTAGCTATGTTGCCATGTACCTATAGTTGAAAAGGAAGGAGAGAAGTATGGGCACCAGGGAGCAGCTGGCTGTCTCTGCCACAGATAATTGCTAAAGGAATAAGAAGGGATTAAAATCAGATGTGCTAAGCTAGAAGACTTTCCAGAGAAAGGGGGTTTTAAAATAGGTTTTAAAGAAGAGAATATGAATTGGTGGAGATCTTGGTGAGAGGGAATATGGAAGCCAAAACTGGAGGGGAGGGAACAAATATTGAATTGACGACTGTAATTGAATTTACAAAGTGAAGTGTCTTTAGAGGGGATGGTTAGAACAGAGAAAATACATTCAATGCTAGGTGTATTTTTCTATGTACTTTTAAATCAGAACAAAAAGATTTGAGTCCCAGCTTCTCCATTTGTAACCTTGAGCAACTAGCTTAACCTGTCCAAGTTTCTGTATTCTCAACTATAAAGTAAGAGATAATGTTTCTACTCAAGGTTATGACAATGATATGAAATAGTGTATGTAAAGAACTTGCAATGAGCCTGATACTTGGTACACACTAAATGGATGTGTGGTGGTGTTACTGTAACAGTGAAAAAATTACAGTGAAAAATTACAGTGAAAAAATTCCTCCAGTTCTGACTACTCTTGCAACAATCCCACTAAAGAAGTTATATGAGATGTTAAAAGCCTGTGGTATTAATGGCTATTGAAGTGACAATGGAGGAGTGGCTCTGGAAAACATTCTAAAGAAAACTAGAGATAAGACAGTTTTTAATTGGAATTTGGCAATAGGATCAAACAGAAAGAAGTTACACTGTGCTTTAAATGAAAATATCTTTTAGAAAGAACACTGTTCTTTTCTTTCAAGAATCTTCCTGATTCTTGGGGGGTATAGAATCTTCCTGATCCTGCTCACTACTAGCTGAGAATACCATGGGACTAGAGCCTAGTGGTTCTTACCATTTGTGGGGGAGGGGGAGTATCACATGACTATTTTGGGGAATCTACTAGGTACCAAGAAGCCTTTGCATAGAAGAATTCTCATCTATACATGCAGAAGACATTTTACATTGCATAGAATTTTGGAGGGTTTATAGACTTTTTGAAACCATTTGTTGCTCCTTAAGGATCTACAGTCCCCTGGTTAAGAAATCCCCCTCAATGCCATGTTTAAAATTATAGACATATATATTGTTTCTGACACACAGTTGGGTTATCTTTATGAAGTGAATTCTTGGCATTTTTATCTTCTTTTGTTTTTTTCCACTATTTGAGAGCCAGCAACATGGCGACAACTGGCTAAATGCAAACTCATGAATCAAAACCAAAATGGCTAGATAGATGCTGTTTGTTTTTGACAACCTAGAAATAATCTTGGCGAAATCCTTTGGAGAGGCCTTCAAGGGGAAGATTGGATTTGTGGACTTAAAGAATGTGTCATGATTTGGCTTAATCTAAGCCATTTTTATTCCTCTCTTCTTGTGTTTCGGTCTATTATCTGTCTGCGGAATTTACACAGTAAGACCACTGGGAAGGTCTTATGTCTAATTATTTGCTGTGCTGTGTGGAGTGTACTGCAGACAATCAATAAACAATCAATAGTAATTGTAGCCTGCTCAGAGACAAGCGTTAGAAGCTTCAACTGGCTTAGATGCATGGTATTTTTCATTAATTTTCTTTTGCTAGTTTTTCCTGTAATTTAAAGTCTAAATTTAAAGATTAAATGGAAAGCTTTCTTTGCTTATGAAAACAAGCAGGCACTGTTTTTAAGGAGGGAATATGGAATCCCAGGTGTTTTATCTATTAATGAGAGAAATGTCTGTTTGCTTCAGATTGAAAGCACAGAAAGGGGACAAGGATATTTGCATGGTTAAATGACTGTGAGTCCTTCATTCTGAAAGTAATAATTCCCCTGATGTCAATTACTTTTGTACAGACATCTGGATGTTTATCATAACGGTGTACAGATGTCAACTTTTCCTGCATTATAGTTAGAAATGTGGTGATTACTTGACTTTGATAGGAGTAAACATAAAATATCTAACATTTAAAGTCAGAAGTGTACTGTAGGAAGAGGATTAGACTGACATTTATTAGAGAGAGTGGTTCCTTGGAAAAGAATTGGAACCATTCCTAAAAATACAGATACTGAGAACACAAAATCCTAGTTATGCTCTAAGAAATAACCCAACTTGAACATGATGTTTATCTATTTCTTAAACTTACAGAAGCTGGATCTGACGATATTGATATACTTCCCAATGGTTTGGCTTTCTTTAGTGTGGTAAGTATTTCCTTCCACTCTGATCTCAGTAGAAGATATACAAGAGTATTTGATGAGGCCTGAGAAGCCTTGTTTTTATATTTTTTCACTATCAAAAAAATGTTCTGGGAAAAAAAAGAGGCAGGTCAAACAGGATCTTGGAGAATTTCCTCAAGCTTATCTAAATGTAGAGATGAGAAGTCCTTGCTAATTGATTTATTGTTCATCTCCCCACTGCATTGCACTAAAATAATGCTATCTTTGTCTTAAAGACTGGTTATTAAAAAGGAGGTTTTTGGGCATTATTGTGGATATGTGACATTACATTACACATTTTAAATACAGCAACCTCCTTTCTTTCTAATGCTTAATTTCCCAGACCAAGGCCAATGCTTTTTTCTTTTTTTTTCCCCTGACTTGATTATCTTTAGTAGAACATCATCAACTGAGTTTATTGATATTCTTCACTTTTGCCTTCTTATAAACTGAAAAATAATAACCTTTCTGGGCATATAATAGAAAGACCTTTAAAATGCTGGCCGCTCCCAAACTATCTTAGTGGCATATGAAGACTCTGACCACTCTACTTCTATGGCTTGGGTGGAGGTACGGTCCTTAGTAACCACTACACAGGATTAGTTTTTCTTGAGGAAGTGGCCAACTTTGAATTTATTCTGTTGCCTCTCATCATCTGTTATTTTCAGGCTCTGAGACTTCAGAGGGATGTAAAAAACTTGAAGATGCTTTAGAAGAAAGTTGCAACACTAATAAAATAGTTGTTAGATTTGTAAGAAAAAGTGAGAGAACTTGGCCTAGATGAGAATGAGGGTTCAAACACTCCTCAGGTTCCTGATGATTTTTACATAAAAATTAAACTGAGCAATGGGTTGTTACCCCTGAGAGAAAAAAGAAGTACCATGGTCCTTAGCAGAAACACTGCATTTGTAGTAAATTTTAAGAATACAGTTTTAAAGAAAAGTTTTATTTAATTTCCTACACAGAATAAGTAAAATGATATTTCTAGTGGGACTCTGGATTTGTTTAGAAGAGCCAGCTTGCAAGTAAGTCTTGTAGGCTTAGGAAAAATACACTAGGACTATGAGTCAGTTATTCAGATCTAGCAATGTAAGAATCCTAAGTAAAGTAAAAGGCAGTTGCTTTTTTTTCCCCCCTAAAGGAGGTGTCCTCAGAGATTCATGTGATCCAGAACTCACCTATTTCAAGATGTTTCTTCCTATAGAATAAATCCGAATTAGGAGGAGTGACCTCTCCTACTGCATAAATCTACAGCCTTTGTAGTTGAGGGTCTTAGCACAATCACAGTGATCTGATAGCCACGTCAACAGGTTTTCTTCTGCTTTATTTTTATTAATCTTCCTTGATTATATGCCTTTTGTGGTTTTGATGCAAATTTAGAAACATTCCTAATCTACTGCCACTTTTAATTTACTTGGCATTGTCTCTACTGTTTTCCAGGCTTTATAAATGAGTAACTCATCCGTGGAGGCAGTTCTTTGTTCTTTTCCCTAGCATATTATCCCAGGTAAACCATCCTGTTCCACAGTTCTGAGTTTGAGGGTTACCTCCAAACTAACATCACACTTAATGAGGAACTGAAGGACAGAGAATTTTAAAAAAGACTTACCTAACAGTGAGAACATACTTTCACTACTGAACTGCACACGTAAAAATAGTGAAGATGGTAAAATTTAGGTAGGTGTACTTTCAGATAAAAATGAAATAAGATTTAGAAGAAGAAGGATGAAAAACAGATTGAAATGACAGGGAGTATTGAAATAACTATAAATTGCAGCAGACTTCCCCTGTCTCGCATGTTGTTTCTTAGCAGTATATTTTAATAAATCTGCCTGTTCTGTCCTTCGGTGAGTATTTTCACCCCTGCACCTCCAGCCTTCACCCATTGTTCCCCAGGGCATTTGTTTTTATTTTTTATTTATTTATTTATTTTTTTTTTTGTGGGACCCTTGCCGGCAGCCGGGGAATGAACCGGGAACCGGAACCCGCACTGCAGAGGCTGCGGGCAGCCTCGCAGCCCAGCGCTCAACCACTGTGCCACCAGGGGAGGCTCCAGGGCATTTGTTTTTATACATTGTTTAATAATTGCCATGAAAAATGTTAAATAATAAAAATCCAACCCAGAAAAAAAAAATTTATTAAATATTCTATCACTGGTAAAGCTTCATTTACATTGAAATCATGCTATTGTTTATGGGACATTGATAAACAAGAGAGATTATTGATGCTAAAGTGGCATGTAGCATGTAGAAACAGCATAATTCCAGTTTATTCTACTTATTAGGCCTGCCAGTCTTGAAGTTATGCAATTTTAAATAGTTTTTTTTTTTTTAACTGGAGAGTCTTTCTACTATGTCCAGGAGTACATAAAGTGAAACTTTTTTTTTCCATATTAGTAAATTTGAATAAAATACAATTTTGAGAGATTTAAGAGAAAAGACTATATAATCAGAGTAAGGGCTGAAAAGGACTAATTAAAATTCAACACTCATTCTTGAGTCAAATCGCCAAGAAAAGTAGAAATAGAAGGAAACTTCCCAGAAACCTACAGCAAACATCATCTCAGTGGGGAAACATTAGCTGCCTACCCATTAATGTTTAGAGGAAGAAATTACCCAACAACACTGTAACTGTCAGTAATCTACTAGAGTTCTTAATATCCAAAAAAAAAAAAAAACAAAACAGGAAAGGGAAATATGAGGTATAAAGGAGAGAAAAAACTGCCATTATTTTTGAACAGTGTGACTACTTTTTTTGTAAACAATGCAACAGATCCAACTAACAGACCATTAGACCTAATAAAAGTGCTCAGTGCAATGACTGGATTCAAAATGAACCTATAAAACTTCATGACTTTCCCGTGCACGAGGACAATGCAAATAGAAAATGTAAAAATAATATTAACAAAAGGCATAGGGTTCTATTCAGAACATCAGCTTAATTTTCAAAACTTATGCAGAAAAATAAGTGAACAGAAATATTTAAGACCATTTTGTAAAGGTAAGGCAATGAAGTGTGGGATATGGGGGCTTGCCATATAGATTTCCATACATACAGATTGCATTAATACTATATTAATATAAGTAAATAAAGCCACAGTAATGTAAGTATAACAAGTATCATATTGGCACAAGAACAGGTATGCCTTCCCAAATAAGCCAATATGTAAACAGGCTTCAGGGCAGTGGGACAAGGACAAATGACATGCCAGGCACTAATCCAGGCTCAGGGATCTAACAGTGAGCAAGTGAGAGAAAGTCCTGTTTCAGTGGGGAGAGCATGAATATGTATAAATGGTAACTGCACTTTAATAAAGATTAAATTAAGGAGAGTGGCAACTGTGTGAGGCTGGAATCATACAGCTATTTATATGTGTGTAAAATGTATATATGTGAAATGACAGTAAGTGACATTTGGCATAGGTATAAAGAAAGCGAAGGAAGGAGCCTCTGGGAGAGAGTGTTCCTAAGCAGAGGGAACAATGTACATAGCTAAGCATGTGCTTGGTTTGCTTGCAGAACATTAAGGAAGCCAGTATGGCCAAAACAACGAGAGTGGAGAAGAATTTTTTTCCAATATTAGTAAATTTGAATACAATACGATTTCGAGAGATTTAAAAGAGAAAAGACTAGATGATCAGAGTTAAGGGGATGAAGGCAGAGATGGGGAGTTGGGGTTAGGAGGGTAAAGGAGGTGAGGATAGGTCAATAGAGAGCTTTTAGGCTGGAGTAAGAATTTCCATTTTTAATCTGAATTAGATGAGACTTTTTCTCAGAGGTGTGACATAATCTCACATAATTTGGATGCTAATGTGAGGTTAGACTTCTGCCGGGCTTTAAGGACAGGAATAGGAAGGCCACAGTCATAATGGAGGAAGTGTTGAAAAATGTTCACATCTTTATGAAGAGTTGTATTTTTCAAATAAAATCAGGGATTTGCTGGGCCTCCCTGGTGGTGCAAGGGGTTAAGACGCAACCTGTGAAGTTGTCCCCAACCACTACAGCATGAGTTCGAACCCCAGCCAGGAAGCAGCAGGGCCACATGGCACAGCAGGCTCCCCTCAGCAGTGTATTTCAGTACATCTGCCTGTTCTGTTTCCCCACTCTGTCTCTGGTGAATCCTCTCACCCCAAACACCTCTGGCCTGTACCCCAGTTCTTGTATGCATAAAATAAATCAATCTTTAAAAAAAAGTCAGGGATTTGCTGGTGGATTGGATATAGGGTATGAGAAAGAAGGTGTGTCTTGACTGGATTGCATTCACCGAGACACCTGGCTTTGTAGAAGCAAGTGCAAGTGCAGACTTGGGTGTGAACAGTCAGTATCTAGACTTCCACTTATCCCCACCCTCAACTCTGCTGCTAAATCCTAATCTACCAGCTTTCTGGTTATCCTTGGAACAGACTAAAGCCCTGGTCTTCTGCCTCAACTCAAAAAATCAGTTATTGTTAATCTTTTAGCTTCCCAGCTTCCAATGATTAATTTTTGTATTGATTCCTCTGTTTTTTCAGTGTTTGTAGATTTATGCTACCACCTCTATCATAATTTATTTATAGTTCCCACTTTAGTCCATAATAACACTTAACCTCATGTATTTAACTTTTTCTTTGTTTTAAAAAGGGTCTAAAATGTCCAGGACTTCACAGCTTTGCACCAGATAAGCCTGGAGGAATACTAATGATGGATCTAAAAGAAGAAAACCCAAGGGCACTTGAATTAAGAATCAGCCGTGGGTTTAATTTGGCTTCATTTAATCCACATGGCATCAGCACTTTCATAGACAGCGGTAAGAACTAAGAAGCAACCAATATTAAAAAACTTATAATGGTTTGCAAATGGCTGTGGAAAAGAGATTTGGATCATATTTATAGTAAGAAAAGTACAATTAACTCATGAATTATTTCTGTATTTGTCATGCAAATAAATTGAAAATTTGATTCTTCATCTAGCCGTGCATTATGGCACATTTAAAAATCTCTAGCAGTTCACACCTGAAAGAATGTTTAGATTTCATAACCTTTTCATATATCTATGATAATTACATTGAAAAAGAGCCATATTTCAGAATTAAACTGTAAACAAATTATTCATGAATTCTGTATATGGAGTGGAAAAACACTCTTTCCTAAAGGTCAGGGGACCAGTGATCAGAAATAACAGCAGACAGTGATGCGAAAGACGAGAAGAAGAATGATCTGTTAGGTCGTCTAACAGGTTATACATTCAACCTTTCCTTGCCCGTGGTATTTAAATGTCAGTGTCTGCCCAGAGGTCCTATGGTTACATCTTGTAAATTAACTCTGTTCTTTCAATTTTTTAGATGACACAGTTTATCTCTTTGTTGTAAACCACCCAGAATTCAAGAATACAGTGGAAATTTTTAAATTTGATGAAGAAGAAAATTCTCTTTTGCATCTGAAAACAATCAAACATGAACTTCTTCCAAGGTACTTACTCTATTTGTTGATTCTCTAATTCTCTCTGGCATATTTAAGTATTCCCCATGGTATTCCCCTTATCTCTTAGAAGAACAAAAATACACACACACACACACACACACACTCATTCACACGTAGAAGAGGAAACATTGTATATACCATTCCTGAGTTAAGCATGTGCTCCATTTGCTTGCAGAACATTAAGGAAGCCAATATGGTGAAAATAACATGAGTGGAGAAGAAAGTAATAGGAGGTGAAGGCAGAGAGAGAGAGAGAGAGGGAGAGAGAGAGAGAAAGAACTTGTAGAGCAGGGAAATAGTGTCACTCATTATAATAATCTGTGTTCTGTGGATATTCTCTTGAGAGATGGTAAAATATGCTGGCCTAAAGGGTAGATAGTCTTCAGGATCATCTTGGGAATAGAAGAGAGCCTCACTATTTTTTCCCTTGTCACCCTGCATCTCAGATGACTCATCACCCAAATACTACCTGTCCTGACAAAGAAGAAAATCTAGATGGAGTTTGTATGCTTTGTGTGGGACTTAATACATAGAGCTTTCACAGGTTAGTGGTAGCGGTGGGCTAATATTAGGAGCTACAGAATTGGATAAATTCAGATTGCAAGTGGGGCACTACAACTTTAAGATCATATATAGTCAGTTGACAGGTGGTTGATAATGTGGCTAAAAGAGGATCATCATGTGTAACCTGCTCGGCTTGTATTAGCTTACTGTTTAAGTTGAATTTGATGAATACTTTTAATTTATACTTCCCTATCTGGGGATTAAGCATGCAACTTCCAACCATTCTTTTAAAAATGCACTTCATAATAGAAGCATAAATACTGTCCAGTCAGCCTCTGCATTATGGGGCTTTTAAAAAAGAGGGGGTCCATCTTCTCTATAGCCTGTTTCTCATTTAACACAGGAAAAAGTGGCTCTTTCAGAAATTTTTGCATAGGATAATTTAAATTTAATAACACCCTTGGCCTAACTGGTTTTAAAAATGTAATTGTTTTTAGCATATAAATCTCTCACCTGAAGCACTATACTACAGCAATTTCATCATCCATCTCTCCGCAAGTGTTTATTGAGTACCTGTTCATTCTTGACAGGTCGACTCTGTGAGTCAGGTAGAAATTGAACAGTCAACATTAGGATGACTAATAACAAGGAAAGGAATTCAGGAAAATCCAGCACTGAATAAATGGAAGCAAAGGAAATGTTACTGATGGCCCAACCAGCTAACCGGCCAATAATGCTCTTTCCAGCTTTACCCTATGGACAGCTTTGTCCTTACATATTGTTAAATCTTACATTCCTTGCTGTCAAAAAGCATACCCTGTTGGCTTCTTTTAAAATAATTCTGGCTTAATTGCTAAATGACCTGTCTTCAAATTACACAGTCCCATAAAAATTTGTACTCTGACAAATGGTATTATAAGTAGATTGCATATGACGATAGCCAAGTGATTTTAGCTGAGCATTTTCCTGGGAAACCTCCAAAAATATTTAAAGTGCATATAGTGTAAACCTTCAGGTTTCAATCTCTAGTATGGAGACCAACTGGCTTTTATTTCCTCTCACCTGTTATTTTTCTTTTTCAGTGTGAATGATATCGTAGCTGTTGGACCGACACATTTCTATGCCACCAATGACCACTATTTCTCTGATCCTTTCTTAAAGTATTTGGAAACATACTTGAACTTACATTGGACAAATGTTGTTTACTACAGTCCAAATGAAGTTAAAGTGGTAGCAGAAGGATTTGATTCAGCAAATGGGATCAATATTTCACCTGATAAAAAGTATGACATCTTCTAGAAATATCTTCATTTCTCCTAAGTAGTGGTGCTGAGTCAAATTCCTCACTTTGCTTTTTTTTCCTGGATGTGCAAATAGCTTACTTGATTTTTTTTTGATATTTGTAATATTACAAATATCAAAAAATATATCCACATATATATATGACTATATATATGTGGATATATACACAACACATACCTGACATGATATATATTGCATATTACATTTATCAACATACCATTCAATATGTAATATTTACTTATTATAATGTACTATATATCTGTTGATATATGTAAATATATTTACATATAATATCTAAATTTTGTTGTTTATCAGTTTAGAATCTAATTTTATAATTAGAATCTAATTTTATAAAATGGAATTGGATCTACCTCAGACAGGTGTTTCCCTTAAATACATCATTGTTTTATTGGCTGCATATTATTACATCATTCCAGTATCAGGATGACCCTGAACTAATCAATTCTCTGTTGACAAATATGTAGAGTATTTTTCTGTAGAAAAACCGTTTTGTATTTCTTATTGACCACTAAAACTTATCCAAGTATTTCTTTTAAAGAACAACAGAGGGAGCATTACAACATAATGGTTAAATCTTTAGTTCTGGGAGCTTCACAGACCTGGTTTCAAATGCCAGCCTGGCACTGGCCAGATGTGGTCCCTTCCTCTTTGCACATTCCTTAAGGTGTTTCCATGGAACATACTCCTCAAAGCCAGCCTACTCAAAGAATGATCCCTTTACATGTTAACTTTCATAGATATTACCAGATTGCTGTCCAAAACAACGTGTTTTTATATGTCCAACCATACCCATTCCCTCCATACCTTAGCGCACTGATAATTTTAAACAAGAACAAACATAACATGAAATAAATTTGGCATTTCTTGACTGAGAAGTGTCTTTATTTTCTTGATATAATTTCTTTTTTTTCTTGTTGATTACAGAAAAGAAATGTGGCATCATTTCATTTGTAAATAACTGACTCAACCCAACCTTTCCTGCCAAATCTGTTTTTCTCCCCAACTTTAGTCTTTGTATTACAAGAGTCAAACTTTTCAACCATCTAAGTTAAAAATACATAATAATAAAAGGGGATTCAACTTTGGCTTCTCGCATTCCCTCCACCCAGTGAGCAAGTTATGTTGATTCTACCTGCGCCTCCTTCCCCACTCTCATCCTCTTTCCATTGCTCCCTTCCTTGTTGAGGTTCTCATCCTCTCAAAATATTAGACATTCTTATTTATTTATTTGTTTGTTTGTTTGTTTGTTTATACAAGAACCGGGGTACAGGCTAAATGCGCTGGAGGGTGAAAGGATTCACTAGAGACAGAGCGGGGAACAGAACAGGCAGATTGATGAAATACACTGCTGAGGGGAGCAGCAGGCGAGACAGGAGAGCTTTGCCCCACCATGTGGGACCCTTGCCGGCTGGCTGGGATCAAACTGGTGCTGCAGAGGCTGCGGACAGCTTCACATCGTGGCGCTCAACCGCCTGCGCCACCAGGGGAGGCCCAAAATATTAGACTTTCTTACAACTCATTTTCAGTTCACATTCAGGTTTTGCACTGCTATTTTACTTTATTTCACTTTACGTTAAGGGTTGCTATAACAGGGAGTTCTGTTTTCATTTCTGACTCGTGCTTAGAACTGCCAGGTGCAAAGCAAGTGCTCATTATTAGTTTAACTATTTGTTACTTTGCCACTTGGTAAATCTAAAACTTCAGTGGAAGTCAATTGCTCATCAAGGCAGACTAATGACTAGTCTAACCTCCTTTTTGTACTGTTGCCATGCTTTATTTATTTATTTATTTATTTATTTATAAAGACATTTATTTATTTATTTATACAAGCACTGGGCACAGTCAGAATCGCGGGAGGGTAAGAGAATTCACCAGAATCAGAGCAGGGAGCAGAGCAGGCAGAAGGACCAAAGTATACTGCTGAAGGGAGCAGCGGCTGGCAGGGGAAGTCTGCACGCCATGTGGGACCCTCCTCCTGTGGCCTAGGAGCAGCCGGGGATCGAACTGGTGCTGCAGAGGCTGCGGGCAGCTTCGCAACCCAGCGCTCAACTGCTGCGCCACCGGGGAGGCCCCTGTTGCCATGTTTTAGATATACAGTTTATTGTTTTATATCTTTGCCTCTCTCATTCTTGTTCCTCTGCCTTTGCTCGTATGTTTCGTTCTCCCTGAAAAGTCTTTGTTCTTTCGTCCTCAACTCTAGCCTCTATTTCTCTATCCACTGCAGATACCCCTTTATTGCCCTTCTGTGTTCGCAGGAGTTAGATGTTTCTTCGGTTTCTAGACAGAAAATACTTCTTTTGGTAATAATCATGATGTCTTAGGTGTGTACAAATCAAGTACACTATAAGCTTTTCAGAGATAGGCTGTGTCTTCTTCATGTTTTTAAATGCCTAATACTGAGTTCATGGATTTACATATGGTGGTTGCTCAACAGGGCAGTTGCTATGGAATAGTCAATTCAATGTGTAAAATTACCCTAAGTAGTCCATTAATTTACCCCCTTTAGGCTGTAGACAGATTGTTCTGAATACTTATCTCTTAAAATTCTTGACATGTTAATATTTTATTGTTAATAAATTTTATTGAGTATTTTAATATTCAATATTTTTGAATATTCTATATTTATACATGTATATGATGCCTAGAAATATCAAATTATATTATGAAATTTAAATGAAGGCACAATTATATTGTGAAATTTTTATGAAGCCACACTTTTGTTTTATTATCTTTTTATTGGTAGATACCACAGACTTTATATTCAAATTTTTGTCCTATGTTATTTTTCCTTACTAACCTTTCAAAAAAATCACAATTCTGTGATTCTTGTAGCAACACTAAATTGATTTTGAAAGCTTACTTTTTAAATAAAAATTGACCTTTCTCAAGCTTTCCTTGTGGGCCCATCATTGATTAACTTCTTGGCAGGTTATTAAGACTTATTCTTCCATACTGTGTTAATGAAGCTTTGTATTGGCATGAATTTCTAACCAGTATGTCCTTTCTGCAAAGGTACATCTATGTTGCTGATATACTCGCTCATGAAATTCACGTTTTGGAAAAACACCCTAGTATGAATTTAACTCAACTGAAGGTAAAATATTTATTTGCATATATGTAAAATAGATATTAATTTATTATAATTGAAATTATGTAATTCTACAGTATTATAACAATTACTTATTTAGAACAGAACGTGGTGGATGCCAGTGTTGCTGTTTGCGTTTTTAAATATTACCTCTCTATAACTGGCGAAGTCTCCTATTCCCTGCAGTCACGAGTCTATGATGACATGCGATAGTGGATGGGAGTGATATTTGCATCAGATTTAGAGCCCATTCCATGAAGTACTGATGGCACCCGATGAATTCCAATAAGAATTTTCACAATTGAAAAGACTATTAGATGAATTCTGAAATGAAGATTTATGCACGTTGTCAGCTCTTTCAATAATAAATGAAGGTAGAAATTGGGTTCCACACCATTATTATTTTCTTCCTGCTTGACAACACATATTTTAGATTGATTAAGAATTTCCTATTTTGCTTTGAATGAGTTCCTTGAGCTAACTGATCATTGTGCATCTTTTAAGGGAAAAGGAATTCATTTTTTGGAGAGAATGATTATCACCCTAACTTCCTTAATTTTAGGGAAGATTAAAAGTGGCTTTAAACCAGTTTATTAAATTGATTTTAAGCAAAACTGGTGTGAAAGGAGTGGAAGCAGGGAGATGTATGTATAGAGGCAGGAAAGGTTTGGTCTAAATTTTTTAATCAAGTTTCTCATGTCATTTAGTATTGACATTTTTTCATTTGGAAGGTACTCAAGTTGGATACACTGGTGGATAATTTATCTATTGATCTTTCCTCGGGGGACATCTTGGTAGGCTGTCATCCTAATGGCCAGAAGCTCTTCATTTATGACCCGAACAATCCTCCCTCATCAGAGGTTTTTATATTTTTAGTCTTTCAACCTTAATTATTCAAGTCCTTTTGAACTAAAAATATGGAGAACTGTCCTAGGGATGGTTTCCTTAGTCCTTTTAACCAATAACACAACAAACTTATGTAGCGGTTTTGTATAGCTCTAAGTCAATAATTGGCAGAATTTGACATTGTTCAAATACTTATAGAAAGGTAATCCTTTGATGTATTAAATTATGGTGCAAACTAGACAAAAGGCATTTTATAAAGACACGTGCCCTCCTTGTGTGGTATACTGGCAATTTTTTAAAATACCTGGCTTTTTGTCAGCTCACCACATGACATGACTTACTCATGCTAACATAGTGTGCAAGTAGGCACATTTGTGTGGAAGTATTTCTATTAATGTTCAATTACTATAATAATACTAAATCCTGTGTTGGCTTGCAGTAACTAGATGGTTTAAGAAAGTAGTTTCTTTGAAGATTGAAGAAAGCACATTAATTTAAACATTATGAAGATTGGTAACTGGTATTTTCAGCAGCATGTTCTCTTAATCATTGTGGCATTGTGGAAGACAGGGATTATTGGCCATTTAGTGACGTGATGTATGGTGGTTCCATATTAACCTTTTGTATCTTCTGAATAGGTTCTCCGCATCCAGAATATTCTATCTGAGAAGCCTACAGTGACTACAGTTTATGTCAACAACGGATCTGTTCTCCAGGGAAGCTCTGTGGCCTCAGTATTTAATAGGAAACTGCTCATAGGCACTTTATACCACAGAGCCCTGTACTGTGAACTCTGAATTATACTTCTGGTATGCAAATGTGGTGACTACTCTTAACAATTAATTTTCTATGAATTACTAATTCAGAGGGAGTTTAACCAACAAAGTTGACCTAGAAATATATGGCATGTATAGTTAATTTTATTTCAGTAAGGAAAGTCCCCTTCAATTCTTGTAGCACTTTTATCATAAAAGGAAAATTATTTTTATTAATGCTAAGCAAAAGGGAGAGACAAAAGCTGCTTTCCATAGAGTAAATACACTTGGCACAAATAAGTCTCCCCTCTGCCTACCACATGCCACATGAGCTCCACTGAAACAGAGTAGGTTGTATTTCCTTAAAATGTGAGTGACCTCAGCTCCAACAGTGTGACCACTGTGAATGCTCAGAACTACTGACACATATAACATGTTTTGATATGTTATACTCAGATTCTTGTTTACTATGAAAGACTTGGAGTTATATTAAAGATTTAATTAGAATCCAAATTTTGTCTGTTTATTTCTCAAGGTATGTTTTCAGGGAAAATGGAAAAGTGACCACTTCCTTGTGGGATGTCTTTGGGTTCTGCAAGGCAGGGCAATGTTAATTTCTCTCATTGAAATCTGAATATAAAAGGGCGCTTTCCTTGAAAAAAATAATAACCAACTAAATATGTCAGCTGGCAATGTGAGTTCTCTATTAGCATGGTGTATCCTGTCAGCTCGCTGTCTTAATGGGAGCCCACCTTGGATACAAAGAGATTATAAAAGGTTAGAGTTGGATGGTCTTGACATCTCCTTATTGAACACAACTGTGAACTGAAACCAGGAGAGATGGAGTCAGCTGTCCAGGGCCACATGTTTATGGAAGCAATGCTAGGATCAAGCCAGGGTGTTTGTCTCATAGGGACAATCCTTGCCACTCCCTACACCTTTATAAAATTTTCTAAGGCCCTGGAGAGAGACTTTCATGTGTTTTATTTCATTGTAACATATCAAAATACTTTAATTTACTTCTCATACTTCCCCCATGTTTATTATCAAAATATTTGTCAGTTATGCACAATGGGCCAGACAATGCACTAAAAATAGTACATTCATGATCTCATTTAATCCTAATTACAGCCTTGAGGGAGTAGGTATTGATATTATATCACTGTTAACATTTCACAGATGTTCACACAACTAATAAAGGGACTCTCACTCTGTGTCTGAGGCCAGAGACTGTACCCCTACCTAGTAAATGGAGCTACTACTGCCATGGCATGAATCAGAATCTTGTTATTTAGTCTTTTATATTTGTCCTAATGTAGAGTTTCTTTTTGTTGGCTTGTTTTTAAGATATCAGTTTCAATTTTGTTTTTAGATAAATGTTTTAATGGCTTTTAAATACAAGTTGCAGAAATATTTTTAAACATGGCCTCTGTTGATTTGGCCTATGTTTTTATTTACATCTGTAATAGACTGTTACTGATATATATTGGGTCTATTTCTTGCTAAAATAATTACTGTTATTTTGCTGGTTCCTTTATAAATGAGAAAAATGTTAAGTCCTAGACAAATAAAGCAATATTAAATATTGTTCACTGGGAACTAGAACTAGAAAGCATATATTTCAGATTTTAAATTACAACAGTGAATATGTCAAAAACTACATTCATAAAAATTACCAGAATATAGTAGATATTAAAATAGACTTGTTTTCTGATTATTAGAAATTTTATTTGGACAGAAATATAATTAATAAGCATGTATAATATTTATCTTAGAAAGAGTTATAAAATTAGCCCTGTTTGTTGGCCTCCCCAGACCATGAGGGATTTGATTTTAACTAATCCTATGTATACTATACATTTATTTATGGTGATCTTACCATGATCATATACTGAGTTTAGCAGTTTGGATGGTTATTTTAAAAGGTCAGGTATTCACAAAGACTGAAAATGCAATTGGGATATGCCACATTAGGTGGATAAGGGCCTCATAGGTATATGTGTATGTATGTGTGAATAGACAAAAGTAAACCAAAACAAACTCTAGAAATATGATTGTAAAGTTAAGGTACCAGAAAGGGATTGGGGTCGGGGGATGGATACCAAAGGGGAGAGTGAGGCCAGTGGACTTGGGTGGGGATTATGGGTTCTTGGTGGTGGATGTGATGGGGTAACATAAATCAGAGGCAGTGTGAGCCTGTGCTTGTAGTGCTGTAAACCAACATTACATCAATAAGAATAATTTTTTAAAAAGCTGTTTAAGACCATATTCAGTGGCAATAATCATCCTTTTTTAAAAATAAAACCTTAGCTCATTACAACAGTTAAATGTGAACATGACTACCTAATATAGGGAGCAAGGAAAATTAAATATAAGATATAATACAAAATTGTTTTCCTCATTTTTTGTATGGATTAAATATTAATGACAACTAATCTAAGGCTGATCCCTTTTCCTAGACTTGGAGTCACAGCTTACTTTGGCTGGTGAATGTCTATTTGGCAAGCATGAGGAAAGAACAGCACCTGCCACTATATCACCCATGTCTACTTTTCTTTGGCTATTGTACTTTGCATTATTCAACAAAAGTATTTCTGGGTGTGAAAGGAGGGATGGCAGAATCTCAGTAACTCTCTCTTAGCTTTCTGCTCTTGATTTTCAATATTCTTATTCCATAAAGCAGAAGACAGAGAGAAAAAAAAAGAAGCCAATCTAATTTTTACAATTAAAGAATGACCTTCAGTTTAATTTTTTAAAAAATATATCAACTGCTTTTTTTGTAGCCAGCTCTGCATGAGACAAAAGGATACAATAGTGAAGCAGACTCAATGCCTATATTCTAGTGGGAGGTACAACAAATGAGAAAATGGATGGATGGATGGATGGATGGATGGATGCATGGATGGATGGATGGATGGGCAGAGAGATGGTGGGCAGACAGTGGAAGTAGAGTGATTAGAAAGAACTCAACAAAGAAAAGTGATCAGAGAATAATTTGAAGAAACCTATTTTTTCCTCCCCTACAACTTTTAAAAAGTTTAAACCTAGATAAAAGTTAAAGGAGCAGTTTAATGACTGCATGTATAACCTTCACCTATGTTCTCCAATCACTACTTACCATTTTGCCACATTTCATTTATCTTTCCATGTAGAGATATTTTGTTTTTCTGAGTCATTTGAAAGCCAGTTGGAGATATCAAGAAACACTGCCTCTGCATACTTAAGCTTACATCTCCTAAATATAAGGGCATTCTAAACAATCACAATGTTATCAGAAAACCTAAAAGGATTAATGACGTACCATGTCATCTTATATCCAAATTGAAATCTTCTCAGTTGTCTCCAAACAACTTTAATTGTCTCCCTCCCCAGTTCAGAGGATACCATCACATTTGCTCATTATGTCTCTTAATTCCCTTTTAATCTGAAATAGTTGCTATGTAATTTATTGTTCAGTGCAGGGAACATGTCTTCTGGGGTGACCTACATTATGAATTTATTTGATTGTTTCTTCCTGGAGTCCTTAACTTAATTGAGTGCCAATTATATTTCCTGTAAAGTGGAGGTTACTAGAGGCTTGATTAGATTCAAGTCAAACAATTTTGACAATACTTAATAAGTGACATGTACTTCATTACTGCATTGAATCTGAATGTAAGAACCAGTTGTTCCATCAGTTGATGCTAAATTTGAATTACTGAGTTAAGATGGTGATCACCCAATCAACAGGATTAAGTTAATTTTTCAGGGCTAACCTTCATTTTCGTTTTCTTTTTTTAATTTTTTTAAAGATTATTTATGCATATAAGAGCTGGGGTGCAGGCCAGAGTTACAGGGGGTGAGAGGATTCACCAGAGACAGAGTGGGAAGCAGAACAGGCAGATGCACTGAAATACACTGCTGAGGGGAGCAATGGGTGAGACATGAAAGGTCTGCTATGCCATGCGGGTCACCTCCCTGGCTGGGGATCGAACTCATGAGGAAGTGGCTGTGGATAACCTCACAGCGCTGCGACCTAACCTCTTGCGCCACAAAGAGGCCCAGTTCATATTCTTTTTATATGGCATATGAATGTTTCCTAAGACCTTCCATCTATATCATTTAAGTATCCATTAATGATTCTTAAATGAATTATTAGTGTATTGGAATGGCAAAACTTTTTTTTTTCTTCCGACATTTCTACTGTTAATTATGGCAAGCAGTACTTTGCTGAAAAAACTCTCTGTCATGACCTTCTCTGCTCACCTTTATATTCTCTATTCCCACCCCCACAGAAATCATTGACTATTAGATTAGGAAAATGTTCCTTATTCTTTTCCACAGATTTCTACTTTAATTTATAAATCTAAAATAATACTCATTTTGTAGAGATTTAGTTAAATGACCTAATAAAACTAAAAGCCTCTATCCACTTTCTTTACCAATGTCTTAAAATTCTACTTGGCTAAGTCCCCTCAGCACCCAACTTCTTAATGCTTAGACCAATGCATTCACAATACTCCTTTCCTCCACTCTGCCTCAGACATCTATTCCCATGGTCATAATTCTGTATCAGAAACATCCTTACCTTTGAAACCTTTATTTCAAGCCTCAGACAGCCCACAACCATCTCCTGCATTGCCAAGTCATTTGGTCAGTAGAGTCAGATTTTAAAAATTTCTCTAACTATTCTAGCTTCAAATCCATTGACAGTCCCTGTCCCAGAACTTTCTCACCTTCCAACAGTCCCATCTGCATAACCACTTTCCTTGTCCAATCCTCCCTCCATATTTAATCACTTCCTTGATTGTATACTCACAACTCCTTTGTACTTTTCTTTTATTGTTTTAAATGGCAAATCTCAAACCATTTCTTTTCATCATACCTGCACCTGAGCAGCCATATGTTGCTTTGGAAAATCACAAAACAGCTAAATGGCTTATATTTCTATTAATGTCAAAGTTCAGATTTGGTAGTCAAAATACTTGACAATTCTCAGTTTCTTTGCCTGATTCACTTTTCCACTAGAGTTAATAATTTTACAACTGCTCCTTCCCCTCAAACTTCCTATAGTCCCTTATGTACCCACACTTTCATTAGAGGTCTTGCCTAATAATTCATTGAGAAGACAAGCAATCAGACAGGCTCTCTCTCATATTTCCCCACCAAATCATCACCTACTATAGATGCATCCATTGTCTAACCTTGCTGTTAGAAAAAGTGTCCTTTTGCTCTAAAAGTCTAATCCTTCTAATTGTTCCTAGGATTTCACTTTTTTTGTTACCCCTGCTCTCTTCTGAGTTATCAAACTCTTTCTATCCTGCTTGCTTTTCATCAGTACAAAGACAGGCTAATTGCATCTCCCATTTTAAAAACAACACTCCCTTGAGTCCACGTTTCTCAAACCATAGCACCATCTCTCTGAATCCCACTGTGGTGGTTTACAATATGTCCACAAAATTTTGGACTTACTCTAAAGGTGAGCCTAATACACTGCTCCTTTATTTCTGTCTATATATTTTATCATTTCG